AAGCAAAAGGTTATTAGTAGACCTAATTCTATAGTAACTACTAGATACTAAGGCTTAAAAAAGACAGATCTATATTAGCTATAGAGTTACTATATCTTGCTCCTTTTAATTATAGCGCTTATTATTATACTAAAGCTAATAGTATTAATAAGTATCTACTAGTAAAAGAGTATACTACTTTATTTTTTACTAGTTTAACTTAGTCTTTATTACTAAATAGTATTTACCTTTAGGAGATAAAGCTATAGATAAATTATACTATTATCTTTAGGCTTAATTTAGACTAATAGAATAATAAATATATATAGATAACACTATTAATTAAGATATAGTTTAATATTCCTTAAATCTATATAATACTACTAGCACCCTATAGAGAAAAGAACCTCTTAATAATAAGAAAATTATTACCTTAATTAACTTTAGAGCTTATAGTATAAAAGGATCCTAGTATATACTATTTATAAGTATTAGTTAAACACCTAGCTACACTATTACACTTAATACTATTAATATTATAAAGAGAGATATTAAGGATATTATAAACACTAATATTCTTATTTTCTTTTTTAACTATAAAGGGTAGCACTAGGCTTTACTCCTAGTTAACTAGATTAATAGTAAGGTTTATTTTATAGATTTTAGTTAGACTTTTGTTTATAATTTATTATTTATAAATATAATTAAATTACTTTAGTAGTAGTATTACTATTTAAGTATACTTATAGACCTTCTTAGTATTATTAGATTAAGTATATATATAGTTAATATATAGTAATAAGATAATAGCTTTACTTATAGTCTTTAGGCAGTAAAGTAGACTAGAACCTTTTTTTACTTAAGTATATTATCTCTTAAATTCTTAGAGATAGGCTAGTTTAATAAAAACTATATAAAACCTAGATAAGTCCTTATTACTTTATAAGTTATATTTATTATTTTAGAAGACTTTTATAAGTATAATAATATATATAAAAACCTTCTCCTATATATTATTATATACTTAAAAGATAACTTTTATAAGAACCTTTTCTTCTTAATAGCGCCTATAGTAGTATAAATAGGTTAAGTAAGTCTAGTTAATAATTTATAGACCTAAACTAGAAATAATAAAGAAAATTCTCTATTATTAGATATACTACCTAGTCTTCTAGATAATAAAGATCTTAAGGCTTAAGTATAAAACCTTAAAGTTAATAAAAACCTAATTATCCTTTGTTACTTACTATATTTAGCTTTATAAGGTAACCTAGATATATACTATTACTTTTAAGAATCCTTTATAGATTAGTATATTAACTAATAAAAATAGACTAAAGCTAATACCTTTAACTATATATATTATTATAGTTTTTTATATTTATCTTTTTAAGAAAGTTAGTTTTACTTATATTAAGGACTTAAATAGGACTAAGTTAATAAGAAGACTTTATAGACCTCTTATAGTATAAAAGGTTATAAACTTAGATATAGTAATATTATTATAAAGGTAAAGGTAAAAAAAAGTCTTAAGCTACTAAAGTAACTTAAGTACTACTATAAGCACTAAACTATTTCTCCTTTTTCTTTCTTTTGTTTCTTTAGGTTCTTTCTTTAGTTCTTAGGTCTAAGAATTAGTTAGACCTTTTGCTTAAGGTTAAGATAATAGGTCTAAGGGGATAATTATAGTAAGGTTAAGTAGTATAGTTATAAGAATTATATAGTAGTTAATTTAAGGAATAGATTAATAAGAAAGCTACTTACTTATTAAAAAAAGGGATTTATAGACCTAAGAAAGAATTAAAAGGGATATAATTATTTATATATAATTATTATTATTAGCCTTAATACTTTATATAGAAATATACTACTAGTTATTACTATACTTTTATTTATTTAGTAAAATTTACTTTTTTTATAATTACTTTATTAACTTATACTTTTATTTTAATATCTTTATAGATTAGGTCTAAGAATTATAAGGCCTATTAATTAATATATATATTATTATTATTAGATATTATAGTAGTATAAGTAGTTTTCCTATGTTTTACTATTCCTTTTTTCCTTTATTAGGTAGCCTAGATGCCTTACCCTTTCTTAATATCCTTAGCTTAGTAAAGAATAAATTACTTATAGTAATAATTTATTCTTACTTTATTACTTTATTATTAATAGTTAGTAGTAGTAGCTAAATAAGTTCTTAGCCTTACTACTTTATTTACTAGCTAACTAAAAGGTTATTTTAGCTTATAAGGTTAGCTTTATATTACCTTTAGTGTTTAGTGTTTTACTTTATAATATATTTAGCTAGTATAAGTGCTCCTAGGTGCTTAAGGAGCTCTTTTTTACTATCTAGATTAATAAATTACTAGACTTTACGTTAAGTAGTATAAAAGTAAAGCTTTATATACTATAAGAACTAATCTTTATATATAGTTAAAAGGCTATAAAAGTAAATATTAGTTAGTAGACTTACTATTACTTCTAAAAGTATTATAAGTATAAAATAAAGTTAAAAAAGAGTATTAGTTTTAAGAAAAGTATTTTTAAGTATATACTACTTTATAATAGTAAAAGTTATTATTACTTATAAATTAAGTTAAAGCTAGGCTTATAACTATTATTAAGTAGTACGCTTAAGGAATAATTTATATAGTTAAAAGTAGCTTATTTCTTTTATCTATAGTACTATAATCTATGTTCCTTAAATATTACCTTGCTTAGTGGATTCTACTGTAAGTCTCTATATTTAGGAGCAAGGGTCAGATTAATAAGCGACGTTGTTCCAGAAAGCGGTGTCGGTCGGCAATATCCTGCGTGACACTTTCTTATATCACTTATCTAGTTTAAATTAATTAGGGCTGTTCTACCCATAGTTAGCATCAATTCCTCTGTTCTGAGTCTCGATTGTTTATCTCTACCCTATTAACTAAACAGAGGTAATGATGAGGGGGGTATGGGGCCTCGGATCCGTCGCTCTAGGCCAGTATTAGGCCTGCGGCATGCCTACTTTGCTTGCCAGCCTGATGTTGGCTGGAAGGATTTTACCCAGTCTTTTCACCTCGTTACGAAGAAATATAAGCGATATGGCCCACCTTGTGCAGTGTCCTCCACAGGTAATGGCCAACGCCTAATCTTTACTATAGAAGTTAAAAAATACCTCTTGGGATAGAGATACTATTGTCACAGTCGAAGTTCTCGGTCAGCCTTAATAATACACTCCTGTCTATACCAATCCTTACTGTTCTGTTGCTTGAGTTATTGCTTGCTCCTCATCCACTCTATTCGTTGCGCTGCGTTGCCTTGCTTCTTCCCACGTTCTTACGTTCTCAACAGCCCATGTGCCCTGTGAATTCCAAAACGGTTGCCGAGATAATTGTGTCAACTATGAACCTAACGTTAACCAGCTAGCTGTAACAGCCTATCTTATTTCACTATCTTACTATCTCAACAGAAAAACAGGCGTGATGAAATTTTACTTGCTGCAACCCAGTCAAATAATGATATTGTATTAATATTCCAATGAAGTCAATATCCCACTATTTACGCTCGCGGTAACGTTAACTTGACATGGATACTTGATCTATACGATCCCAGGAAGCTGTCTCGAACCCCGCTTCCAAGCTTTTTGCGTTGATAAGCGGAAATCAGAGTAGAGTTTCCGTCAACTTTGCCTGTTACAACCTATCGACGACTAATACCTAGCACACAGTAATCTTTCTAACTGGCAACTTCCACCTTTCCAAAACTCTAATGAGCGTCAAGGCAAAGCTGTCTGCAATCTCAGTGCCATTGTCTGTGCCGTTGAGCAGGTCTAGTAGCAAGAGTTCGTCGCGGCCGACGTAGGCGGAAATGACGCGCGGAGCCGGTCGTGGCCATATTGCTCGCCGATGCAGTGCCTTGGCCCTCCTCCAAAGTCAGGAAAGAATACGGATGGTTTGTGCCGCCTGTAAAGGGACTTTTAATCTAGTGATCCGAATTAAAGACACGGGCGTCAATCCCCAAGTGTTTGGGGTCGCGATTGAGGTACCAGGGCAAGAATACCAACTTGGATCCCCGAGAGATGGGCACACTGGTGATCCTGGCAGGCTTGATACATTTGCGCCAAAGGAGCCTGTTGACGGAATAAAAGCGGAGAAACTCGTTGGCAAATTAACAGCAAAAAGATGCTGGAAAGGCTGAACTCTTGACCACGTCCAACCCGGCCATCCTCGTCTGAACCGGAAAGACTACTGGGGCAACTGCTGAATAAGCCCCTTTCTGGGAAATAGAATTGAGAATCAACACTCATCAATGCAAGACGGATCATGTTAATTATGCCAATATTCAATCAATCGAGGAATCGCGGAATCGCGGAACTTGGTAAGACCGGAACCTCAGATTGAAGATAAGTGACAGAGGATTGCGGCAAGTGTTGTTTTCTTGGTTCTAATCTCTACACTGACTATTATTTAGAATAGGCCATACAATGCAAAAGCTTGAGCGGACCTATAGGCGGTCATTCCAATCACACGCATCCAGATTATCGTCCAATATTTAGCAAAGTCGCATAACCGTTTCCTATTTGAAAATACTCAATAAAGATGCTAACCAAATCCCTTCGTTTACAAGCTAACGTGCATAGCGCCACAAAGCCACGCAAAGTGATATTCGTGCCTCTATAGCTTGAATGAGTTAGGCGTTTTGTGCATAAGGCTCACTACAGAGTTCTGAGCGCCGACCAAGGGTTGCTGGATAGACCCTAGCCAGCTCCATGGGATATCAGATAACTGACAACATACTGTTAGTGTCCATCTAAAGCAAAGAATACAAAATCAGTCACCGCACTCATTGCTTCTCGGCCGTTGGCATCATGATAATATGATTTAGCCTTGTATGTTTCTAAGTCAAGGTTCTATGAGTTAGGGTATTCCATCTGACTGGTCCGTGTACTATTAATTTATATTTTCGTCCTCAGTCTGAGTCCATTCTTGACTGTCACCATCATACTTAGCCTGATCGTCTCGAAGATACTTAGCCTAGCTTGTGTCAGTGTCAAGTTCTCTCCAAAAGCCGCGACCGGTGATGCTCACACTTTGACCGCCATCAGTATTTTGTAACTCCTTCATCTTGTAGACTTGGTCCGGTAAATCAACGCCCTTCGGTGCGGTAATTATGCCAAACTCGACAAGTCCATCAAAATGCTTTCCCCACCAACTGCGCCCATAGAACCCAACGATTCTATCGCCAGCCTGAACTTCTGTTCCCTCGTTAATGTCAGAACCAAAGTTGGTCTTATCAGTCACTTACCCAGTGCCAGGGTCTCCTCTCGCGGCTCATCCGTATACCCCGAGAGCGCGCCGCCAGCCGTCCCGTTCTCAAAGTGAATCCTCATCCCATACAGAATGTGGCTTCCCCTCGCAACTTCAACGCTGACGATCTCCTTGCCATTGGGCATCCGCACGTTCTCGGCTGCGTGCCCACCAAACTCATGCTTGGTACCACCCCTTCCCCAACTGCTGATTCTGGGTCCGCAGTTGACCTTGGTGCCGTCGGGAAACTCAACGTACGCGCCATCAAGGATGCACCCCGTCCGTACGTCAATGTTCGACGCACGCAGGACGTTGCCGTCAGTGTCCTTCCTCGTGAGCAACGTCGCCCAGCTCCAAAATTTGTCGTCACCCTCATCCGACTCCTCCAGATCTTTGCTCGTCACAGACCTCTTGCGCAACACGATGTCCGACCCAGGGATACGGATGTGCTCCGTGGCAAACGCCTTCCACAGGTTCCGTACCGTCTTGGTCTTTCCATTCATCCCCAGCACGTAAACCTTCAACTCCTCCTCCGGGTCGAATCTCCCTTCCAACTCCTTGCGGCCAAAAACCACTTTTTTGTACGGCTCCGCCACATGAGGCTCCTCCTCCAGTTCCCCGTTAAAACTGATCGTCGCAATTCCCGCCGCGCAATAAATCTCGATTCCGGCGTCATCCGTATCACTCTCCGGATTCACCACTGACACAAAAGGCGCACTCGCTCTGGCCTCCGCCGCAACCTTCTTGTCTCCCGGCATCCAAAAGTGAGGTAGCATCCGGAAAGAGAGCGCATCCCTCAGATCCCACGTCGCATCATTCTGTGCGTTCGCGTCGCCGTTGACGAGCCAGGCCTCTTCCTCACGTTCATGGGCCGCCTGCGCCGTTTTCGCTAAGAAGTTCCGCGCCCAATGCCGCGAGTACCCTCGAGCCATGATTCCCGTGGTATGTGGCGCCCCGAACGCGTGCCCGACCTCGTGCAGAAACGCACCCTGTCCGACGCAGCATGCCTCCCAGAACGAGTGGCATTCATCGTTGTCGTTGCCCACCGTCCGCCCGGGTGCACGCGTATCCAGCAGGCACTCCACCACTTCCTCGAGGAAGCGCGGGAACGAGTAGGCCAGGTGGCTGCCCATTATGCCGAGCGAAACGCCTTCGGGGTTGTGGCATCCCAGTGCGGCGTGCCCGAGAATCATATGCTGCTTTGTGGAGAAGTGGGAGTCAAGAAGCATACCCGCGACGACGGGGCGTAAGGAGGTCTCAAAAGGCCCGCCGTAGGACGCCAGGGCGTCAAGGAAGTAGTCGAATAACTTGTTCCTGTTGCGCCCCGCCTCATTCTGCTGAGCGACATCTGCGTCACGGAGCTCGGCGACGGTCCTGCTGGAACGGACGATGTGCACCTTTGCAGTGGACCGCATGATCGCCGACGAGTCATCGTAAGAGGACATGAAGACTTGGCTGGTCGTATCGGCGGCGAACTCCTCCTCGAGGCGGAAAGATCGCCGGCCGAGACCCTTCATGCGCATATCCTCGGCGGTGAAAGCCTGCCACATGTAGGCTGCCATACGCATCTTGGCGACAGCGGCGTCGAGGGAGGAGTGCGCCGTTGACAAGGGGCCGTATTTGGAGGGCGGGCAGTCAATGAGGAGGGGAGAGTCTTTGGCAATCATGATTGCGAGGTGCAAGGGGGGCGTCTGGAGGAGAGGGATGTAGTTGAGGGTAAGGGTTGAGGGGGCAGGGTTCTCGGTGTCAGTGGAACAGCGGGTGATTGTGAGGATGTTTCTGCCGGGGGAGAGGAGGGCCATGGCTTTGAAGCAGGAGGCGACGAGCGGCCAGGTTTGGGACGGGAATGTCTTGGTGTTGCCGTCGGATGATGAGATTGTTATAAAGTCGTTCCAAGGCATAGTAGTGGTGTAGTATCCCTTTATGATAATGCATCTCTTTGAGAGGGATAGTGTTAGTGCCATATGAACAAGGTGGCTAGCCACAAGGTGGTATGAATTACCTCATGGACGGTTTCACCATCGTGCAAGTTCTCGATAGTGAGTGGCGACTTCGTATCAGCAGCGGTCTCTCGGGGGACTTGGACACACTGCCGCTTGGCTTGGGGCATTGGGGAGCGCATTTCGACGGTTGATGTGTTAGTGTTATTATCGAAATTGGTTCACTGCACGTAGTTACGTAGTCAGCGGCGCAGGTAGATTGACAACGAGGAGCTGAGTCTTGGAAAAAGTGATGACAGTGAGTCTTGAGGTGGTGAGAAATGAGTTTGATTCTACTTCAATGGAACCCTCTATTCCCTCTTAAATATACGTCCACGTCTTCTTGTGAAGCTCCTTCCGACATTCGATGTCGGGGATAGCTTCACAGACACGGCATGGGTTTTAGGCAGAACTGCCGTCTGGTTGGTCCGCCAGGGCCGCCTGCATAAACTCCCCAGCCCCGGATTCCACCTCCCCAGGCAGCAGCACGTGGTTTAGTGTCATCCTGTTGAGCACGAGCGCTACCTATCTTAGTGCCCTGGCGGCCACAGGGAATAGCAAGAGCTGACGGCCAATGACATATCAAATTGCTTACATAATTTCCATCCTGAGTAACCGGCTTTTTTCTGGCCCGTGCGACGCTCAAGTACCTAGGCGTCCTTGTGCTGAAAGGCATAGACTTGAAGCGTGAGCAAAGTGGGGCCCTCATCCGATACGCCAAAATATGCAATACCGCTAGGTAAAATGCTAGTAGCGCACTTAGAGTAGATTTCCCTACCCAAATAAGAGAAGAAATCTAATAACACGTATATTTCACCTTAGGCAATACATCCGAAGAAACGGAGCAATGCATCTAGCAAGCGTCAAGTGGGGCCACAAACGTTGAACGTCTAGAGGAGTCCAAGGCGCACTGTGCTCACTCCCATTGGAGTGCGGTTAATGGTACCGTAGAGTTTCATTGTCAACAGGATCTTCAAATGCGACTCACTCACTCCAATCTCTTCAACCTCGAGCCCGAGTACTTCATCATGTCTGTGAGAGAGGACCACGGACACCCAAGTACGTACGTGATTGAGAAAAGCTACGAGAGCTTGCCAGGCTGATCACGAGCAACAGGTCTGGCACTAATCTTCTTCATGATCGCCGACTTCGGCCAAAGGGAATCATTCAGGAGCAACCATAGCATTCTTTCCACCCGCTACCCGTACTGGCTCCTGTACAACTCGTCGCCAGATCTGGTCGTCGAAACGAAGCACCTCAATATTGAGAAGGTCCTCCCCCAGGACGTCGCCTACTACCATGAGGAGATGACACGCCTTAATCCGAAGAAGAAGGGGGCAAGGGCAAGGACAAGCCGATGGTCGAGTCGTTTTTCCCGAGCTTTGGCTCGGATCTGGATGAGGTCATCAACATGGTCAACGACAAGGAGCAGAAGGAATACAGTTGCTGGTTAGGAAAGATCCACACTTGCAAAAATATCACCCTGGACCAAATGCGCGCCCAGGATAAGGCGCTCTGGAAGAAGCTGGAGAAGCTGGACAAGAAGAAGTGAGACGCCTGGTCCAACCTTCAGAACGACGTCATTGACGGGATGAGGATGTACTGGCATGGCTTTGGCAAGCCCGCTCTTCCCGTCTGCAACCACGGTCCAGTAAGTCATCTGCATCAATCAGTATGCTTACATTCGGTGCCCGCTGACCTGCCCTTCCAGCACCGCACCCAAGAGGTGTCATGGATCTACATTAAGTTCTTCGGCAACGATCCCTACGCGCCGAGCCGGTGCGGCGCCTGGGCGCAGCCCCAGCTTGACCGCACCATCCTCCGTCTCGAGGGCGTCATCCCGGACCAGAGTGAGAGCGCTGCAGCTAGCCTATCCGCCGGATTCGACCCCTACTATGGGAAGACAACATGACTCGGGTGGCGTGATGTCCTCCAAAAATGCCCCCAGGACACTTTCCCTGCTTAGCGACGATTACGTGAGATAAGATAAGCAGTAATCTTGGCCAATGGCAGGTAATGACTAAATTACTAGCAGATGTCAAGTTATGACTGTCTACGGACTGTTGGTGGGTGCTAACACAATATCTACTTCCCTTCATTGATTCTCTTCTGTCTAGATCCTATTGCTAAAACGCATCCTCACTAGCATTTCTTGACAGAAGCTGCAGTCTCTGATTATGGCTGTGTGTTGGCTGCCGCGGCAACCTCCCACAAAATGTCAACAGCCCTTAAAGATGTGTATGCACAATCTTCCGGTGCTTGACATCTCATCGGTGAAGCTGCGCAAGATTAACATCTACCATCAAGGTCGCGCCGGTTACAAGCCACACAATGACTCCGAACTCTTCCACCTAGGTCGTTGAAAACCTTGCGCATTGAGTCACGCCGCATACTGATGACAGTTGCAAGTTAATAGAAAATAGTACTGTTGATATTTTAGAACCCTGCGCAGGGAATGGGGCTGTCTAATATCTACGGTAAGGGAGTTAATACTCCATATTCTAGCGTACTCGGTTGTAGGGCAAGACACACAATAGGAATTTATATTGGTAATTGATATACGGGCGCCCTAGAATTCATACACGGGCATACCTCTTACACGGGCACCCCTATACGTGTCTCCCATTGGTCTAAAGAATCATTGTTAGTGCAACCAAATCTGCCAGGCCCACAGGAGGTAGCCCATCGCAGTCCATTAATGGCAGTCCATCGCAGCCCATTAACGGCAGCCCATTAATAGTGAAGTGCAATAGTGGAGGTGTTAGTGAGATTACGTTTACCGCCTTTGCGGGAATGTACTGTTTTTTTTTTGGACCAATGAGAGGCACATATAGGGGTGCCTGTGTAAGAGGTATGCCTGTGTATTAATTTTGGGGTGCCCGTATATCAATTGCCTTTATATTACAGACCAGGTAGAAGACTTGATAAAAAGCGAAAAGCATTTGTTGCAAGTCACCTTGTTGAGGATATAAGATTAGCGGTAGACATTTTCCCCTGGGATAGAATACCTAACAAACTCTAAAAAGAGGGGCGTGACGATCGGGTACAAAAAGTCATTGTGGAGCACTGCCATGAAATGTGCAGGATGTAGGTTTATGCTGAGATTTGATATGTACATAGTAGTAGCTGATAAGAAATGATCTGCTTGTAGTAATGTGTCACGAGTTAGAGCACACAGCAGGGCATATGGGAATTCAGGTCTAAAAGGCTTAATTCTAGAAGTAACGAAAGTGATGTCCTATATAAAGGCAAGTGAAACAGCACGTGCAACAGCACCTGACAGGGCTGTTATAGAAGGTGGAAATACATGAGGTTATCGTGACATAAGGTTTATTCTGCTTGACAAATTTGACAAATGGTCATCTGTATTCCGTAGTGCGGAGTAGAGATGCGATTAGAGTGGGTCAGTGTTGCCACGTGTTGAAGGGTTAAACCCTGTGCAGATTGATACCGGTTGCCTGGTACCTGACCTGGGTCAAGGATGCTCCTTTGAAGCAGAGTCTCTAAAATTAATATTCTATGCACATGACCAGGGATTCAATCTGCAAGTTTATAACAAATATTCCACTACCGCTAATTAATGTGAGACGTACTAAAGCCTGTTCATCTTATCCCTCCCCTCAAGAGCGATAAGGCCCCATCTCTACTTATTTCTCTGCACTACGCGCACATGACAAGAATACATAACGCAACACCATTTATCTCAATGTTATTTTGTATAGTAACACCACCAAAATCAATATTATTAACTATTTAAAGATGTCTTCTCATTCTAATACCTCTGTGACCTCCGTTATACCTACTAAGTCTACTAGAGCTACTAGAGAAATACAGGACTATATTAAGGTCTGCCTAGGTAACCTTGCTATTGCCTGTACCCAAAATTACCTACTAGAGCGCTACGATAATAGTACTGTCTGGCTGGACAAGGCTAAGAAAGTCTTGTCGTGGTCGCTTAACTTGTAATGTGGCTCTTTGTAAGGAGGGAAATTGCTGGTACCTCTGGCATAGGCATAGGCGTAAATCGAGGTACTATACATATTCTGACCTTTGCGGGGTCATTATTGGTGCCCACAGTGGAGATGGGGCCTCATCGCTCTTGAGGGGATACTTTAAAACTATTTTACTGTAACAAGGTTCCCTAGCATCTATACGGAGTATGTATCAAATGTATGAGAATGCTTATCAAGGAGTGCATGGTGATACACACACGCTATTGAACCATGATGTCTATGATAATTATAGCCCAACTCCCCAGAGACTTCCATTATCTAGGCTTCCACCATCACCTGCCTAACACTCATTCCTGGACGCCTGCCTTTCACTAATCGAGCATGAAGTTTGATATCTGTCATTATGTACTCCTCAGCTCGAGTTTTCTCTCTTTCTCGGCGATAGCAGCCGACCTCAATAGGAAATCGCACCACGGTGCTGTTCATATCCTCGGGCGAGCCAGTCCCATTACGAACGGAACATCTGTGAGGTCGTCGATACCCCCTTCAAGTCACCCTTCAGAGGTCCCAACATCCCGTGGCCCATCTCCTGCGCCGACGAACCCGCCAATGACCACTCTCCCCGTCTCATCAACAACGACGACGAGCGTAGCACCTGCAACCACAACAGTCAGCGATGGCGCCACCGTCATTGTGGCTGCCGGCAAAAATTGTGGTGGGGGGGCCTGGAGGTGTCTTCTTCACGGTCGCAGGCTCGGCGGCAGCGCCTGTTGCCGTCGCGGCTGGCGCAACCGTAACAGCCAGTTCTCCAAAGGAGGGCGTCAACCCAATGACACAATAAAGCCACCCAGCTCTGTGCCTACTTCGAATCCACCCAAAAGCACGGCGTCAACGAGCACTAGTTTTACGAGCTCAGTGCCGAGCGGAACCCCCACGCCGTGCCTCATTTTCCCGAAGGATGGGGCCACAAGACAGGAGAAAAAGGATTTCATTTCACTCCTGGACAAGGAACTAGGCAAGGGCAACTATCGGGAGACGGAAGATTTGACGGTCTTGTTTGTGAGCGCCGACGTTACATCTACGCAGCAGAGAACTATCTCCAGTAATCCCTTGGTATGTAGCATTATAACCCATGTTCTGTACAGCTTTCTCGGACCTTTAAGTGATTCGCTATTTAGGTCGGCGGTATTGAGCCCGTCGTGCAGTTTGATACGAACACGGGAAAGTCCGTGCCAGTTCCGAACAGCAAGCGGGATGAAGACGTCCACGAGAAATGGTGGATGGAGTCCCTGGATAAGCTCGGGAGAATCAGAAAGCGCGCCGTAGTGAAGCAAGACAACGCCCCAACGGAGCTCATCATGTTCTCGCAGCCTCCACTGGTCGACCTAGCAGCGCTCAAGAGCTACACGTATGATGACAGTGCAGGAACTGGTACAACCGTCTACGTCGTGGACACCGGATATTACACCAAGAACAGCGTAAGCATGTACCCGTCTATGCTTCTGCGGGGCATTGAATAACATGATGTAACACACAGGAATACACTAGAATGGCCGTGAAGCCGCGCTGGCTCTTCGGAGGCTCCCAGTCTGCCAAATCCGTCAAAGAGGACGTCGACCCCGGCGGTCATGGAAGCTGTGCTGGGTCCAAGGTCAATGGACCCAAGTACGGGGTCGCAAAGCAGGTTAATCTCGTCATCGTGAAAGCCTCAACTAACTCAGACGATACGCTCGACGCACTCAACCAGGTCTTGGCAGACATAAGAAAAAACAATTTACAGGGTAAAGCCGTGGTGAACTTTTCGCGGTCACGTACGTGTATTCCGATTTCACACGCTGATGACAGATACATCTACACTTTAAAAGCCGGCGGCTAATATACTCCGCAGTGGATAACCCATCGCCATTCCAGAAGAAGATGATAGAATACTACGTCAAAGAAATGATTAGGGAAGATGTCATCTTTATCACGGCATCAGGAAATGACGACCGGGATGAAGTCTATGTGCGTGCCAACTCTCAAGACACTTGTCCGGCCACAAGATTAACCCATGTATTGTAGGACGGAAAAGTGGCTGCACTCGACGTCGATGCCTGGCCTGCCTTGATGGCCGCGGCTGGTGTGCCGATCATCAACGTTGGAGCTGTTGACAACACAGGCAAGAACGCCTCCTTCTCCCAGGGAGGATCCCTGGTCCATGTTATGGCACCCGGCGTCCAGGTCCAGTGTGCTGCCAACTCATTTTTCTTTGGAACGCAGAAATTAGATGGTACATCGTACGGTAAGCAGCTGCAGCCTCCCATCCCCGAAGAACAACTAGGCCATATGCACCGCGAGAACAATAGCCTTACTAAGATGTGCGTATGTAGCCGCCCCCTCAGTGGCTGGTCTCGCAGCCTATCTACTTGCTCTAGGAGAACACCCGGAGCTGTACCAAGCCGGAAAGGTAGCGGAAAACATGAAGAAGATCCTCGTGGACATGGCGTATCAGAGAGTGCCAGGCGGAGGGCAGGTGGCGTTCAACGGCCAAGGGGCCGTCAGCTCTCGGCGCAGCAGCGCCAAGTTCAAGAGGCAAGACCTCAGCGGCGAAGCTTGCTCGGCTGTTGCGTCATCGACGATCATTCCGCCTACTCTGACGCCTACCCCTCCCCCGGCTCCTCTACCTTCCACAACAGTGTCAGTGGAATTACCGACAACAACTACAACCTCGGCCGTGGTGCATCCTGTTGCTTGTTACAATTTTGACATCGCGGCCTTTGGATACTGCTGTCCTGGTCCTGGTAACCCATGTCAGAACGACCTTGGCACATGCTATGTTGGGGGGCAAGGGGTCTCTGGTGGGGCCAATAATGAAGTCCCGGATGGCGCGCGGTGCCCACCTCCAGAGGGTGCTGAGGCCTGCAGGGGGGCATGTGATGGGTACAGGATATGACAAAGGGCTCATAGCTTGTAAACCTCCAAGGAGTAAGGAAGAAGATCCATCATCACTTGACTTGAGAAAGCTTTTCCACTTTTGTGAATAGCCGGATAGAACATTGTTGAAATGACTACCTAACGATATAAGAGTCTAACACTGTCTCCGAATATTTATCCACCATAGTAAAGAAGATACCATATTGAAGGAAGTACGATCCGAAGATCATCTAACTCGCTGAGCAGAGGCTGTTATTCTTTTACCCCGCTTTGTACGCATCAAACTTGACCGGGATATCAGTCGAGTTTCCACGGTTCTCGAAGATGGCCATGCTATTCGGAATGAGATTAGTAAAAGGGGCATTAAAGAGAGGGTAGATGCTTGGAAGAGAACGATTTAAAGGGCTTTGATAGCTTACTAAACCACAGGAGAATATTAGTATTTTTAGACTCGAGACGGATGGAAAATGGGGTTCGTGAATTTGCTTACTATTTCAGTGTAAAGAGCATCGTCGAGGCCAGCCAGGTCGTAATTGACGCCGTTCTGAACTACTATCGAATTGTCCTTTTGGATAGAAACGCAGCCTTCAGTGGTGGGGCTGCCTCGCTGGCGACGTCGGAGCGCTTCTTGCCGGTGAACTGACAGTTGCCGCCAGAATACAAGCTGCCGCCATCACAGACGTTCTCTTCTCCGTTGGAGCTCGCCACGTATCTGAAATCTCGGCAGTCGCCTCCGGTCAAGCCACTGCCGTTGATCCCCCAGTCAGTCGGGATGGCCCGGAGCCCGATGCTGCGGAAGACGTCCCTGCAGTAGCCGTAGACGTCGATGGCGGAGACAGTGGCAATGGGGCCGGTCAAGATATAGGAGCCGTACATGTTGGATAAGGGGGGTGGACAGTTTTAAGTGCAAAAGAGAATAAAAGCTTCTGAAGTGACTAGGCTGAAGGGATGATGAAGGAGGAGATGGAGAAGATTTTGGACGGGGATGTAGACGACCTTTATAGGTGTCCAAGGCACCTCAACATTCGAGACAAGACAGAGAGTCAACTTGAAGCTTTACAATCATGTCCATGGACTAATTCGGTATCTAGAAGGGTACCTACCTGCTCCTTTGGGCACGAACTGTCTTCGGGTACGTACAGTACCGTCGAGTACAGAGTGCCACAGTGGATCGCCCTGAATAAACAGGTACCTACCTACCTACTTGTACCTTCGTACCGGTACGTACTGTACATCGTCATGTTCCTAGCAATAATAGATAGGTTTCTTTCTACCATTTACTCTATCCACTTCCTCTTTAGAGGCCACTAAAAATTACCTATTTATACACTTTACTAGTCCTTTAACTTACTAGTAGATAAAGGATTTACTAAGGAATTTGTAAGTATAGACATAATAAGCAGTTATTTGATTTCCTTAGAGCTAGGATAAACACTGTATACTAATAAGGATAGTAGTCTTTACCTACCCCAATACAATTAATACAAAAAGATCTTATACAGTACACTCTAGTTGCAAGCTGGCTAGCAAGTAGGACAGCTAGTAGCTATACCTTGAAGGCCCTTAACAGCTTAGATTCAGTGTACTGCCTTATGGCATATTTCATATACAGTTGAGGAAAATCGGCATTGTTTGGCAATTGAGAGCAAGTGTTATATTATGATAATGTCAAAATCTTAACGATGTAGCTTGTTTCGATGGCTTAGATGTCGGGATGGCTTGTATGTAGGGCCGGTGAGTTACTACCTAAACAATATCTCTTTTTATCTCGTCTGAAACGAGGGAAGATCTACCAGCAACCAAAAAGGCCATGTCGCTGATCGGCGTTTGGCTTAACACATCAAAGACGGAGACATCCGCCTGGAGCTCTGCAAATATCCAGTTGCGGACTTCTATCGCTTTAAGCGAATCAACACCAAACGTGAAAAGAGCCTTGCCGACATCAATGTCATCGGGTTGCGCCGTGATCGAAGCTGCGATGTATGTTCTGATCGCTTCCTCAGCAGCCTGTGCAGCCTCGTTGACTGTCTTCGCAGACCGCATTTTCTGACCGGTGGAAGCTTCTCGTACGCTTCGAGAGTCTGTTGTAACATTCTGGCTAACGCGATGATCGAACTTGCGATCCCGAGGCCATCCCGGCTCTTGAACGCGCTGAATGCCGTCCGTAATACCTACGAGTAGCTGCGGTGCGAAAGGTTTGCCGTTAGTAAGAGACGTTGCCCGAATGGCCGCTGCAAGCACAATCTCAAGCTCTCGACTCGTGACCTGGGCTGAGGTCCAGTGTTTGTACTTATTCAGATACTCCTCGGAAGTTAAATTGAAGGTGGAGCCTTTGCCAAAGTGGCTAGCGTCGGTCACAAGACCGACGTCGAGGGATGTGGCAGCAAGTCCAATGTTTCGTCGGTAGTGGGCTACCGAGTCTTCGTATGTGTTTCCAGCCGAGTAGTTTGCTTGGCCAGCGTTTCCGATCACACCGGACATGGAAGAAAGAATGACGAAGAAGTCTAGCTCTCGAGGGAACAGACAATGAAGGTTCCAGGTGCCCTTAACCTTAGGGTTGATTGTGGCACACCACCTTTGATAATCCATGTTCTCAAATACAGAGTCCTGAGGTTTTAATCGTCAGTCTTGATAGGCCCATAGACTCGCGGTTGTGTGATTACCTGTAGCACCATGGCACACTGGATGATACCTTTGACCTTCCAGCCGCTCAACTCGCAGGACTGGGCTGCAAGCTTCACTTGAACCTCATCTGTAACATCACATTGTATCGTATGGACAGAGCATCCGCGCTCTTTGAAGTCTCTGATGGCGGCTTTCTGCTTCACAGTTGAAGGCCCAGAACGGGATAGGAATATTAGATGGCGAACGCCTCGGGTAATCAAACTGCCAGCAATGCCGAGTCCAAGTGCTCCAAGTCCACCAGACAAGACGTAACTGGCGTCCGAACTCAGCATGAGCTTTGGTGGCAGAGTTGGCATGAGAGGTACGATAACACCCTCATCGAACGAAACAACAATAGAGCATTCGTTCTTATCTGATCGAACTGCAGCCAAAGCCTTGTCGATTTCTGCAACCGAGTACGTTTTCATAGAGTGGTGTCTAGCAATCATATTGGTATGCGTGAGCTGGAAAATCTTTGCAACGGTGTCGAAAGCTTTGTGCCGAGCAAGAGTATCAACATTGATTGAAGAGAAACTGGCATTTCTCGTGAAGAAATCGGGGTCGAGATCTGTCGATGTAGCCGTACGGTAAACGTTAACAAAGTGGCCGCCCTCCCCAAGGCAAGCCGAAAGGTGTCTGAGTGCAACACCAGAGCTGGATCCGATGATAATGTCTACGCCCCTCCCATCGGTTAGGGTTGCCAGATCTTGTGCTGTAAATGAGCCGGGGGTGCCCAGAAATCTGGCCTCGGGAATGTTGTAGTTGTCCATCAACGCTCGCTTCTCAGCTTCCGAGCTGACTGAAACAATGACGTGGCCCCCGAACATCTCAACGAGCTGGATGACTGCCTGGCCAAAACTATGTGCAGCTGCATCAACAAGTACATAGTTACCTTTGGCGAAACTTCCAGCAGTGTGAAGGGCATGCCAAGCAGTTGCAAAGGTTGAGGTGAGGCATAAGGCAACATCCGAAGACAAGAAGGCGGGAACAGGCTGGATGAGGGAGCGAATTTGACGAACGTGCGTCTTTAACGCGTTCGGAACAATGGTGAAGACTCTCTGCCCGATCTTCAGGCTCTGATCCACAGAACCTAGATCTGTGATGAATCCGACTGCTTGACGACCGAACGTCGGTGTCTCTCCATCTGAAGAATCTGGACTGTTGACAAAGTCGAGCAGGACATGGCTGACGCGCACTTCAACCTCGTAATCTTGCAACTCTTGTATTGAATGTTCATCTTCTACCCAACGAAGACTTTCGATATTATTGGAAACAGATGCTATGAGCTTACGGCGACAGCCATCATGCAAGCGGCCCTGCACACTCCTGGCGTTGGGTGAATGGAGCTCCAATTCTTGATCGAGAGCATCTTCTGAAACGACACGGGGGACGAAAAGAAGACCGTTGGACGTGGTGTACTCTGTCTCAGCGGCTCTTTCATTTACTCGTGCTTGGAGTGTGGACTTGAAAACTGCAGTTACAAGTGAAGCTGCCTTACTACTGTCGAGAACAATGTCCGGAGATAGGTCGAGATGCGGAAGAGAAATGTGTGGCTTCTCGACCCGTAGGCTTCGTAGAAGACCAGTCGTAGGAGAAAACCTCAAAGAGAATTCATCCCCAGTCAAGAGGCCGCCTGCCGTGACCCAGAGAAGGTAGCGTGCGGAGGAAACAAGCTTCTGGAACGACTCAAACTCTTGCGCGTTCCATGAGATGACGAATGGCTCCTCTACCTCAAGAAGTGAGATAACAGTCTTGTAACCCAGGTCTCCGACGTGTGAGATAGAGGAGGAGCTGACTCTGATGCCAATAGCGACCAGCTGTTCCGAGAGTTGGGCCGCCAGCAGCTTTGCTGGCTTTGAAGGATCCGAGTGTTCAAGAAGAACCACATCTGATACAAGCTCCTCTGTACCAGCTTCATCAGGAATGGAGGTGATCAGAAGCATTGAATCGGTATAATCGATGGCCGCGATAAGACAGTTGAAGCCATTATCGGTAAGTAGGTGCTTCCAGTAACCCATCTCGCTTGGTGGGCTGCAGTGACCGATAATGGTCAAATATCCCCCGGGAGCTAGTAGTTGTTTGAAGAGATGGGGCGGATCCTCGGCAAAGCGGAGTGAATCGCGGCTCAGGACGATGTCCGATGACGCCAAGATAAGATCAAATGGGGATTGGTTATCACCCTGCCCAAAGTGTGGGACGGTTGCTGTGTCAACAACTTGGCATTGAACCTCAACATCGGCCCCTACGAGTTCATCACCCAGCTGGCAGATGGACTCTTCGGAGGCGCTGATGACAGAACAAAACCTGAAGCGACCTCGATGGCCAGTCTTTGGCGCAAATCGGGCAAGTAAGCCAACAAAGTCGCTATGGACAGCCGGACCTTGTAACAGTAAAAGTACTCTGAGATCGGCGTACTTGTGACAAAGGCGGTCTAACCAGACACTCAGCTCGGCAGCGGCCCTGCTGGACTCGAGCCCCCGGTATTCTATCGATCTTGCTGCCATCAGGGTCTCCGCTGGACTCCCTATAAGATGTTCAACATCTTCTTTCCAGACAAGCTGCGCAACACGTTTCGGACATATAATAGATGGCCGAGCTTCCCCTGGAGCACTGGAGGAGACCTTGGTCATGACCATGTTTCGAACAATGACCTTGGGCTCCTGCCAGTGCTCATCAGAGACGAAGATGCTGCCGAGAAATCCGCGAGCACCTGTTGAGACCACGTGCGAGTAGCCGGTGAATCTTCCGTTGTTCCTCTGGGGCAGATCAGCCGAGATGAAGAGCTCCCCGATGCTCTGTGGAATAGCTGCTTCCTTGATCGGCTGCCCATCGTTCATCGCCACGTAAACCAGATGGAAAATGGCATCTAGGGTTGCGGGGTGGATCAAATGAGGGTACTCGTGAGCGTGAGGCATTGACGACTTTGTGTTAGGGACAGAGATGGTGGCGACTCCCTTGTGCTTGCCCGATAAGCCTGCGGCGCTGACAACGTTTCTGAACAACGGACCATACTGAATGCCGACACTCTGAAGCTGGTCATAAAGGGCATAAGTATCAATCTCGGTTGCCTGCGCAGTGATTTCGTGAAAGGTTGCCTGGTGCGTCGCCCATTCCGGACTTGGCGCGGCATAAGTATCGCCGTTCTTGTACATGATATCGAACTCTCCCGTCGAGTGCTTGTCCCAAGAGCCGTCTGGTCGCAGAGAGAGGACCTTAAAGTAAAACCAGCCATCTAACGTCTCGTGCTGTTTGATGCTTAGAAACACCTCGACAGCTTGGTCTCCGGCCGGGATAACAAGCCCTTTGTTGAGATGAACGTTATGAAACCGGATAGCAGACAGCGCCCTCTCTGTCGAAGCTATCTGAAATGCGGCCTCGATTGCCATGGTAAGCATGCCGGCTGCAGGGAATAATGTAGTGCCGGTAATGACGTGTTCATTGAGCCAAGGGGACTCTGCGCTGGATAAGAAGTTGCGCCACGTTGGTTCCATTGGGTTCTGACCGGGCATCGGCACGCCTAGCAAATCGGTTCGAGGCCATGTTCGCAGTCGCGCCGCCCGTGCGGCGGATGGCTCGTGCCAGAAACCCTTGTCATGGTTCCACGTATATGGAGGTAGTGTAGCCACGACCTTGAGGTTGACTTTGTGGTCCTCATCATTCACCGTAGCCAGATTGACCGGGTGTCCGACGGCCCACAGAAGGCCGGCCGCACCTTTGGCAGTATTAATGCAGTGCTCGCCGCGACTCAGAACGCTGGTGTATAGTATGTCCTTGGAAGCCTTTTCGCTCCAAGCTGTTGCGATCTGCTTGAAGGGGCCCTTGAGGGCTGCTTGTGGACCGACCTCGACGGCTGCAGTCCAGCGAATCGGTTCGTTTCGACGACCGTGGATTCGATGGCGGAGTAGCTTGCTGACGGCAGAATTAAACTTGACCGAAGCGAGCATGTTGTTAGTCCAAAAGACGGCGTCCACTGACTCGGGGCATTCGACAAGCTCCCCGGTAACAGAGCTGAACATGAGGACGTCAGAGGGAGGGCAGGGCTTGATATCCCCAATCGCCTTCATAAAGTCTTCGGCGACAGCCTGCATGTGTGGCGAGTGGTAGGCGAGCTGGACTCGGAGCTTCCTAGCAAACTTGCCGCGATCTTTAAGTATGGCATTGAGACGGTCAATAGATTCGACATCTCCAGATAGCGTCACGCTCGAAGCACTATTGATGCAGCCGATCCATGCAGAATCTTTTGGAACAAGCTTCAAATACTCGTGTGCGTCAGCTTCCGACAAGGAGGCGGCCAACATGGTACCACGGCGGGAGCCGAGTCGGTGCCTGGCTGCTTCGCAGTAGACACCGCGATAATAGGCGATGCGCACAGCATCCTCGAAGCGGACCAATCTGGCCGCATAAGCCGAGGCGAGCTCGCCGCTGGAATGGCCGACGGTGGCCTTGGGCCTGATATCCCAATGACGAAGCAGGTCGGTCAAGGCAAACTGCAAAATGGAGCAGACTGGTTGACAGAAGCACGGCTCGTTAATCCGTGTGTTTTCCGGGTTGTCGAGGAAATCAATCACTTTCCAGTCGGCCCCCAGGTCAGATAGGATAGCCTGGCTGCGAGCGATGCTTGCAGAGAAGACACGGTTTCGCAGCAGCTCGCGCCCCATTCCCGGCCATTGGGCGCCCTGGCCAGTGAATATGAATATGACATTGTCGTTACGCGAAGCGTGGACTGCGGACAGGAGCGGCTCTTCGAGAGAAGCGGCCAGGCCAGCGAGCGAGGGGGCAACAACATGGGTGCGGAAGTCGAAGCGTGATCTCCGGGATCCGAGAGTGTAGGCCAGGTCATCCGCCGTCACGGCAGGCTCCTGACGCAGAAATTCGGCATATGCAGCAGTCAGGCGATGGATACCAGACCTGTCGTGGGTAGAGAAGACGAACAGCTTATGGTCGTCGGCCGGGTGCAGGTCCCACTCGGTTGCGGCGATTTCGTCACCGACAGTGGCATGGAGAGGTGGAAGCCCGCGATTAGCAAGGAAGTGCAAGGCGTCATCAAGGATGGCGTGGGCGTTGGCGCCTCCAAAGCCGAACGAGTTGACGCTGGCACGCCGTACAGAAGAGCCCGGCCACGGCTGCATGTGCCGCGGAAGGACAATGGCTCCATCTTCAACCAGATGCCGCAAGCTAGGGTTGAGGGTGTCGAAGCCGGCGATCGGCGGGATCTGGGCACGTTCAAGGGCAAGAACGGCCTTGATGATGCCGGCGATACCGGCGGCTCCCTCGGTGTGGCCGATGTTGGTTTTCACACTGCCGACCAGAAGCGGCGCGTCACGGCCTTTGGCGGCACCAAACGTCGCATGCAGAGCCCCGAGCTCGACGGGATCGCCAGCCCGAGTGCCGGTGCCGTGAGCCTCAAAGTAGCTGGTGCCATCAAGCGGCAGGTTGGCGAGGGCGTAGGTCTGGCGGATCAGGGCCTCCTGCGCGCGGCCGCTGGGTACCGTGATACCGGCCGTCCTGCCGTCCTGGTTCACTCCGGTTCCACGAATTACCGCCCGCACAGTATCGCCATCGGCCACGGCTTGGCTGAGCGTCTTGATCACTACCGCCCCAACCGCCTCGCCGCGGGCGTAGCCGTTGGCACGGGCATCGAAAGAGTGGCTAACGCCGTCTGGCCCGACCATGTGCATGGCCGAGAGCTGCGCCACGTAGTTGGGCGACAAGACGAGGTTAGCGCCGCACACCAACGCCTGCTTCGTCTCGTTAAGCCAAAGTGACTGACACGCCAGGTGCAGCGCGTAGAGACTTGACGAGCATGCCGTGTCGAGCGTTATACTTGGCCCGTGGAGATCAAAGAACCAGGACACTCGGTTGGCAAGCATTGCCCGGGAGATGCCCGAGGCCGAGTTCTGCGCCAGGTCGAATTCGTCGCCCGCAGAAATGTGCGCGTAGTCGTCTGTCATCGAGCCCGCATATACGCCCGTCTGCGAGCCAGCCACGACTTCCATCGGCATTCCCGCTATTGTCAAAAGTTGTCAGTCTACCACGTGCTCTCCCGTCACATCCTGATGCCAGTTTAAGGGGAAATGGTACCGTTCTCGAACGCCTCATAAGCCACCTCGAGTAGCTTACGCTGCATAGGGTCCATTCCCGCCGCCTCCTTTGCTGTGATAGAGAAGAAAGGCGCATCAAATCCTGCTGCGCTTTCTTGCAAGAAGAAGCCGCTTCGAGGCTGTATCTGCTTTCGGTCAGCTCTAGGTCATCGCCTAATCTTATCATTGCCATGGATTTGCGTACCGCTCCTCGTCTCTCGTGGTGAGGGTGGTACCATGCCTCAGCGTCATATCGGTCTTTAGGGACCTTAGAATGTCCTGTCTGCCCCTTGATGAGCATGTCCCAGAACTTCTCCACCGTTGACGCATCACCCGGGAAGCGGCAGGCCATTCCGACGATGGCCAACGGCTCCATGCCAGGCTTCGTTGTGAACTTCATTTCGTTGCACCAGAGAGAGTTCGCTTTGGAAACCTAGGCTCTTTGGGGTTTGAGTAGCGGCGAGAATCCGCGTCTCTGGAAGCGAGTGAAATTATAAAGGGAGGTCGCTGGGAACCAACGGCCCGTTCACGGGTGTGCTACGTCGTGGCAAAGGTATTGGCATACTCCAGACCGGCATGAATATAGACTCTACTACTCTATGTAGCTGGGAGGCGAAGCCGGGCGTAAGCTCTCAGCATGCAGGCAGCATATAGTTACATCGGCCTTGCCGACGGGTGTGTGGCAGGATATTGGATAGGCGCTCCTCTTTTCTGCACACACCAGTCTTGGCTCTACCGTCAAACCTTTCCGTGGCGGATTAGGCCTATAGGTCGGTTCGTTGACCACGAGACCCTTGTCGGATTTCAATGTATCACTTGTTTGTGCGTCTCGGGGGTATTACCTATTTCTGATGCTCGGGGCGGATAGCAATCAGTGACGAGACTGGCTATTTCGCCTCGAATTACTGTAGCTGAAGATTGTTCACTTACACAGGGGGTTCTTCAAACGCTTCGAGTGCTATCTCCTCAGTTCAGTTAACCCCCGGAAGCCATTACCCAAGTCTACATCGTGTATGTATCTGTGTATGTATCTACACTAATGGGAAGTTTACACAAGAGCTTTTATGGAAGGCAATAGCATTCAATTAATCGCATACTCAAATTATCGGATCTATCTGGCTGGGTGATCTGGTACCAAGTATCCTTAGCCTACGGTTTCCCTCTTATGCCCTGTCATGGAAACTTAACCCGTACCTTATATTCTTTGCCACTCTTCCGAGTCTTCAAACGGGCTGATGTGGTAACTACTTGGACTTCGTGTGGACCTTCACCCGCAAGCCCTTGGACTCTTCGGGCATTACAGGGACGACTGTTCCACTGGTAATAACCAGGTCTGCAGCAGTCGTCTCAAAAAGCTCCAGCGTACCAACATCATCTTTTCCTTGAACCTGCGCTGTACCGTATACCCTGAATAGCGCCGCCAGGGTGAGATAGAGCTCCGCGTACGCCAAGTTAATCCCAAGGCAGGCTCTGCCGCCCTTGCCAAAGGACACCAAGTAACGGTCGAGGCGAGGGTTCCCGACCCAGCGCTCAGGCTTGAAGGCGTGCGAGTCCGGGAAGACGCGCTCGTCATGGTGGACAAGGTTGCTGGTCATGCTGAGCGGCGTGCCGGGGGGGATATGCCACTCGCGATTACCTAAGCTTGAGCGGTAGACGAGCATCTCATCTGGGCAAATGCGGTGCAGTCGGTGCGAGATCGCGTGACTGAGGCGGACACCCTCCTGGACCACTCCCGTTAGGAAGGGTAGGCCCTCGAGGACGACAAGGCTTAGTGGCTGCGACGGATCAGGAATAGCAGCCTGGAGCTCGGCTTTCAGCTGCGTCAGGATGGCAGGCGTTTCAAGCACAAAAAACGTCGACACGCCTAGTGCCCACGCCGCTGTGATGGTTCCCGCGGCCACAACAACCTCACCTTCCTGCCAGAGGCGGTCAGTCGATTTGTCGTATTGGGAGAGCTTGCTGTTTAGGATCTCATGGAAGATGGTGCGCCGCGTCTTCTCGTACGCCTGTGTCCGGTGCGCGTCTTGGATCTCGGAAACCTGGCGCTTGATGCCGGTTTGAAGCTGCGAGTAGGCACCCATCGCCGGGCTTAGCTTAACCAACACTGAGTCAGGCAATTTGCGTAGCATGCCCATAAGTAACGGGAAGTGCTTCAGAACGTGGCCTGCTTTGCCGCCCTGCAGCATTGCATCTCTGAAAGAAAGGTCAAAGCCTGAGGCCGTGAGGCGATGCTCGCTCCTCCCGAAGGCGTAGTACTGGACAATATCTGCACCGTCCTTGATCAGCACTCAAGTTCCACGTCAAGGTATTGAGAGATGGCGGTTAGCCGAAGACTTACCGTTGGTTAAGGCGGCAAAAGCGTCATCTAGCTTCAAGAGGGTCCCTTTTGTGGCAAACTCGCCGAGGCGTTGAAGCAGGATGGCCATGTTCCGGTCAATCAACGGTTGCAGAGCTCGCACGCTCTGCTTCAGCAATATGTGACTCACGATATCGCGGCTGGCCTCCTTCTCTGGCTGACCTATTTGAAGGATCCGAGTGTTCAAGAAGAACCACATCTGATACAAGCTCCTCTGTACCAGCTTCATCAGGAATGGACAAGTGTCTTTTCGGCGTCTCTCGCAACAGCCAAGAGGCATCGCTTATCCCCGACGGTGTATTACACACTACCTACTATGACTACTACTCATTATTCAGCCTAGTCGGAGTCCCTGGCCTTATCTTCTGGTTCTTCTACGTGAAGCTCTCATCTGTCACGAGAATGCCAAACTGCCCACGTTTCACAGACGAGGACGCACAGGCTCTTGTCAATCAATATGGCAACACAACTCTGAGTCCAGGGTACACGCTCCAGACTCTGTGGAACTCGAGAGTCAGAGCCACACTGGCGCCGCTGGAGGAAGGTGTAGCAAAGAAATGGAGCCAAGGAAGGGTCGTCTTGATTGGAGATGCAGTACATAAAGTGCGTATGCTGCTGAATGGAGGTGACTGGAGGTTAAAGCTGACATTCCGCAGTTAACAGTCAACGCGGGCCTAGGAGCAAATACCGCTTATGAGGGTACCACTCGCCTTGTGAACAGTCTCCATGACCTACTTCAGCATCACCCACATCCC